TCCACTAGATGTGAAGTGTGCCTTGTTGTTCTTTCATTATAATGATGATAATTCAACCTCCAGGACAGCCTCTCAGCCAATCAGGACACACTGCAGCACCACAACAATGTGGACAAAAGAGGCCTCTTCCTGATATTTACTCACATCTCAGACCATTAAACACCTGGAATTTAAATTTTAAAAATCCACACCAGCTCCACAGAGATACTGCAGCAGCCGGCCTGACCTCTGACCTCATGGTGTTGCTTTCCTTTTAACATCCCGTCTCTGAGGTCTTCAAGGCAACAGAGAAGAAGGGTTGGGTGTGAAGACTCCAGTTTCAAAGGTCCTCAGGTGTGGAGCTGGTTGCTAGGGACTCCCAACTCCATAGCAACAGCAGGAGATAAAGCGAGCTGACACGATAGACTGCAGCTGCTGAAAGGAGAGATGGTGTCTGGAAAACGAGGTCATTTTATTGGTTTTCATGCACAGCACAAAGAGAAGGCTACTCTTTATTATCAGTCTCATTGTTTTTTTGTTTATTCCTGCAGGGTCCAGATTTGGTCCATCAAACAGGTGAGACAAAATATTATACAGTTATCTTTATTTTCTTTATTCAACTTCTCTGGGTGATCAAACATTTAACCAATCTCAAGAGGTTTGTCACAAAGTGCTAATTACCGGCTTGTTTATCTATTTTATATATGTTATCTGTTTATGTCAATGAACTGTTCAAATGGTTAGCAGAAGATTTGAAAGTGCTGTTAGAATAATTATATTGTACCTCATGTATGTTGGTGATGGTTAGCAGGATCCTAAAAGAGACAAAGACCAAGAGATGATGCTGAAGATATGTTATAAATCGCAACAGGTCAACATAGTGAAACAGTCTTATTGTAACAAATAATGTCCCTGATACTTTCCCACATTCAAATATTTAAAGGCTTTATAGGTGATGTTTTGATCCAGCAGATGTCGCCCTTGAGCACCAGCATGAAACCAAAACAACTTGTGCTGCATTGTTGTGTCAGCATGCTAATAATCTTTATTATGCTCGTATCTTCACACTGCATGTAAATTTAATAATACATTAGTTTTGTATAGCGCTTTTCTAAAAACTCAAAGACGCTTAAATAAAAAGAAATACATTATTTTCAATTTTTTAAAAGATTTAAAAATATATATTTTTAATGTTTTTAAAAATATTTTATTTTTAAATAAATTTAAAAATATAAAATATTTTTTTTATAAAATAAAATTTACAAATTCTATCTTTAAAAAATAATAAATTTAAAATTTACCCGAAACTATTACATTTAAGTGTGAAAAATCGCATATTCTGCCTTTAAAGATATGATTGTTTATGTCTGTTTAAGTACTGTCTATAGGCCTTTAAAAGTGGGTTTTAAAAATGAAGAGTAAGCTTTATTTTTATGTGTATCTATATCCATATATATCCTGGAGTTGTCAAAGTGGAAAGCCTATAAGCAAAAAAAAAACCATCTCTCTTTCAGTCAGTCTGCAAAACAAAAAAACCTCCATAAAGAAATCCTGTGACTCTCAGATTCATTTCGACAGTGAGTTTGATTAGTGGTCACAATACGGTTTGGAGTTTGAAGCCAACTTTTCACTGAAGTCAGACCAGATTCTGGATGTCCAGGCTCTGCCAGAAATAATGAAACCCCTTTAACAGAAACAGAAAACCCACTGAATGATTGCATGTTCCCCTGGGGGGGGGGGGCATCCTATTTAATGCTGATTTGTTTTTGTTTTTTTACGGCAGAATCTTGGAGCTGGCACGGCACAAAACCTCAAAATGTGTTTGGGCAACGACTCCTTGGTGAGTAGCCCAGTCAAACTTAAGTTTATCCTTTTGATTTTTAAAATCTACCACAGGACATATCACAGCTCTGTTCCAGCTGTAACGTCATTGATCTAGTGTGAAATTTATTTCCAAGAATTCAGGAGCCTGCGGTCAGCGTTTCCTTCCTTATATGACATTTTCTCTAAACTCTGTAAGTTAAAAACAGATGTCTGGCATGCTCTGGATGTGTAGGCAAAGGACAGAAACAAACAATGCTCACAAGTATCAATTGCCTTTCATGGAAAATATCTACAGCTGCTTCTTATTTGACATTTTCATAATCACAGCTCCTTATTGGTAACTTTTCATTGATCAGTGAGAAGCTGATCTGGGGCAACCAGGAGCCGATATGGCCCGTCTCCCCTGCAGCACTCGGAGCCACTCCAAGTGCAAGAATCCAATACCTAGCCAGGCACAAAGGAGACTTCTCAGCAAGGGAGGACCCCCGGAGGTAACTGAACATTATTGATGACCCTATCAAAAAAGCATGAGAGGGGAGGGAGGGGTTGTTGTTTTGTGTACACTCTCCAGAGAGCTGTAGACAAAGCTTTTTTTTGTTTTGCTGCATCCACATATTTGAGAAAAAAAATGTTTTGCAAAAGCTGCAGGGGTAATGACTTTATGGGTTGATGCAGGAAATGCAGACGTGCAAAGTGATGTTCAGGACTGATGCCAGGTGCTTCCTGATCAGAGGTGTTGTTCTCTCTGCCTGGGCTGTCACATTAAAAGCGCAGTAATGTGCAGCGTAATTCAATCAGAATCAGGAAACAGGAAGTGAAGCTCCCAGAAGAAATAATGTGAATTTACTGTAACTAAAGATGACATTAATCCACCTGCTGGTTAGCTTCACAGCATCAGATGTAACAGAGCTGTAAGTAGAGTCTGCTGTGCACACTTAATATCATCTTTCTATTGTGCATTGATATTTAATGAAATTATTTCTGACGCCTGATAACTCGTCTGAGTAATCTCATGATGTCATTATCTGACTGTCGGCTCGTCATACTCTCATCTCAAGTGCAAATCAAATATCAAAGAATCAAAGTCGTTTATTTGTTTCTTCACTGAAACAGGCTCCATGTAAGATTCACACACCAGAAATAAACAAAAACATCTCCTCTTCCTCCTCTTCCTCTTCCTCCTCTTCCTCCTCTTCCTCTTCCTCCTTCTCTTCCTCTTCCTCTTCCTTTTCCTCCTCTTCCTCTTCCTCTTCCTCTTCCTCTTCCTCCTTCTCTTCCTCTTCCTCTTCCTTTTCCTCCTCTTCCTCTTCCTCCTTCTCTTCCTCTTCCTCTTCCTCTTCCTCCTTCTCTTCCTCTTCCTCTTCCTTTTCCTCCTCTTCCTCCTTCTCTTCCTCCTCCTCTTCCTCTTCCTCCTCTTCCTCTTCCTCCTTCTCTTCCTCCTCCTCCTCTTCCTCTTCCTCCTCCTCTTTCCTCTCTTCCTCTTCCTCTTCCTCTTCCTCCTCCTCTTCCTCTTCCTCCTCTTCCTCTTCCTCCTTCTCTTCCTCCTCCTCCTCTTCCTCTTCCTCTTCCTCTTCCTCTTCCTCCTTCTCTTCCTCCTCTTCCTCTTCCTCTTCCTCCTTCTCTTCCTCCTCTTCCTCTTCCTCTTCCTCTTCCTCTTCCTCCTCCTCCTCCTCCTCTTCTTCCTCCTCCTCCTACAACATATGATGGATGTTAATGTCTTCCTCTTTCCAGCAGGAAGGAGGAAGAGGAGGAGGCGAGCTTCTTCAGGAAGCGTCCTTCCTCCAGGGCGTCTCAGTACGAGCACATTGTGCGCTTATCAACACTGAAAACCAGGAGCTGCAGGACCCAGGAAGCCCGGTAAAAAAACAAAAACACCATTCGACATGAAACACAAAATGAGGACAAGTGACACTGAACCAAAAGATCTGCAGGTCGAATTACTGTTCTGATGTTTATGGTGTCTTAGAGTCCCATTACAGAGTCAGTTAGTGTGGACGTGCTCTGGAGGTCACTGCAGAAACTGAACACAATCATTGACTATGTTTACATGCACACCATGTTCCTGTATTAATCGGAATAATGACAATATTCTAATTGTGTAGGAGTCATGTAAACACCTTATTCCAATTGTCATAACCCGATTAAGCTCATTTTCCGATGATTAAAAACCTGAATAAGACCCCTGACATATGCCTGTATCAACCTGAACATTGGGTCATGTAAACGCGTTAGTCAGAATATGCTATTTCAAGGATTTGTTTACTTCTGCGCATCTTCAACATGGCGAGAAACACGCAAAAGACTTTACACTTTTGGAGCAAGGAGGAGACAAATTTACTAGATGACGTCTTGTCATGACGCTACTACTACGGTTTATTTGGTTTAATATGCTGATTAACATGTAAACAGGAATATTCCAGTAGCTCAGCACTCTGCGGAGCATGTAAACACCTTTTTTTCAGAATATTGCCTTAACCAGAATATTGACCTTAATAGGAAAATGGTGTGCATGTAAACGTAGTCACTGTGCCTACAGAACTTAAACCGCTGTGTCAAATAAACTGATCTAAAATCCACAAATGTTTCAATAACATTTCATTTCATTTAACATGAAACTTTCAATTAGAGGCAGCCTTAAATATATCTTAACTGAGTAGAAGACAATCTGAATTTATCATTTCTGATTTATTTTAATTTTTTGTCATTGTGGTTTATTGTCTTCAGTCAGCAACAGTTTAGAAACATCTTGAACATATTAAGCTTCCTTGCTGTGATATATATCTTGTCCTGGATATTAAAATATGTGTTCAGTTTGCGCAGCAGCGTCCTGAGACCCTCTAACATATCCGTCTCTCCAGCAGGTCTCAAGAGGGAAAGATTTGTGACTCAGAGACTCATAGCTTTTATTGTCCCAAAGGGGGGTTTCCACACACAACCCAAAGTCTAGAATTAAACTCCAGCTGAGTCTTACTGATAGAGCTACTGTAACTCTGAGCAGGCAGAGAGGAGTCTTCGGTCCAACACTAACGTCTCCACACTGCTTGAGGAAGACGGCGTTTGGACATCTGTTATTCCAGCGTCAGACTGTGGGAGAGCGAGCAGCGGAGACTATAAAGCTCATTGTCCACAGTTCAGGAGCCCGGAACGCTCGCAGGCAGCCGAGGAAGTCTTTTTATAAATCCTGAACACAGCAGCTCAACATGA